AGTGCCCCATAAACCTGCCTCCAGAACAGCCCTGGGGAAGCCGAGTTGGACGGGCACTTCATAGGAGACCTCATTAGACTGAGAAGCACGGACACCAGACTCACAGGGCCGACATGCTTCGTTAAGCCCAACGATTCCTGAATGTTCTGCAGCAGGAGAAAAGGAGAGGTTGTTCTCAGTAAAGAGGGGCAAGCTGAGGACTTCGGTGGAATCCCCGTTCACATAAACCAACTATAAAATACATTTCCAAGTCAGTCAAGGAGGTGTGAATGTAAATGGGTCGTTAGATGTGACTGAAGAATTATTGTTGCGTCCGGGCCAGTTTGGCTCAGCGGTTGAGCGTCGGCCTGCGAACCAGAGAGTCCCAGGTTCGGTTCCCACTAGGGGCACATACCACAAAAAAAAAATTATTGTTGCCCTGGCCAGTTTGGCTCAGCAGTTAGACTGTCAGCCCTCAGACCGAAGGGTCTCGGGTTCGATTCTCAGTCAGGGACATGTACCCCGGTTGCAGGTTCAATCCCGGGCTCCGGTCAGGTCGTGCAGGAAGCAACCAATCTATGGGTCTCTCTCACATCGATGTCTCTCTCTCCCTCCCTCCCTCCCTCCCACTCTATCTAAACGTCAGTGGGAAAATATCCTCGGGTGAGGATTAACAAAAAGAAAAAGAATTACTGTTCATGTTGCTGGTTAGAATAGTGCTGTGCCTGGATAATAACATGTTCTTCCTGGAGACGCAGAACACAGGGCAAATGTCATGTCATCTGCGATTTACTTTGGCCAAAAGTGATACAACGGATACGGTCAGATACTGAAAAGTGGTCGGTCGAATTGCTAACATGTGGAGCGCTGTAGGGCCTTTGGGTGCTGTCTTTCTGAAGTGCAGAGAGGTCAGGGGGCATCTGGCTGCCCGCCGTGGCTTAGGTGACTTCCCAAGGTCAGCCCAGCCCGTAAACCAAGGGGAAGAGGGACTGTGTGAAGGAGACAGGGCTGGGGGCTGGGCCCCGTGGGAAAGAGCAGCAAACCGTGGGCCGGAGTGTGGGGGCTGGCGGGTCCTGTGCCAGAGCAGTGACGGGCTGGAGGCTGGCAAGGAAGGAAACCGCGGGAAGCTGGCAGGTGCTGGGCGTCTGAGGAGCTTGGCGGCGTGAAGGGAGAGGCGGTCAGCCCGTCCAGGCAGAGAGGCTGGCCAGCCGTTGGAACAGGGGAGAGAAGACAGCTCCCTGGACCCAGTGCCCCAACTCAGAGGAGCAACTGGCAGCACGGAGGGGCCAGGGGCCAGAGCAAGACCACCCAGCAGCCTTTGCCAGCCGCGATGGGCAGAGAAGCATAACCCTGCAGGGCCGGACTGCCAAGCCCCCCGGCGTGGTGGGACCTGGGCGGGAAGAGCCCTGTTGCTGGTGGAATCTGCCCGATTCCGCCGGCCCGGCCTCAGCGGGTCCGCATAGTCACCCTAAGCCTTGGCCGGGCAGGCGGATGTGCCGAGAGAGCAAATGCAGGACTCAGCCCTCGCAGGAAAGGGGACTCGCGAGAGATGGCCTTGTGAGCATGGAATGGCCCAGAATATCGCGCGCACCCTGACCGCCTCCCCCCCCGTGTCCCTGGAGGTCTCAGCTGGGTCTGGGGGCTGCGTGATGGCGCGTGTTTTCTCACGTTTGCTATGAGGCAACACACCGTGGCTTTAAGAAGTGAAAGGTCACCCTGGCCAGTTTGGCTCAGCGGTTGGAACATGGGCCTGCGGACCAATGAGTCACGGATTCGATTCGGGTCAAGGGTACGTACCTCGGTTGCAGTTCATCCCCAGCCCTGGTCTGGTCGTGCAGGAGGCAACCAGTCCATGGGGCTCTATCACTTCGATGTTTCCCTCTGTCTCTCTCTCTCTCTCCATCCCTCCCTCCCACTCTATCTGATGATAAATAGAAAAGTATCCTCGGGTGAGAAATTTAAAAAAGAAGAAGTGAAATGTCTGGTCTCTACAGGCTGGGGAGGGTCAGGGTGCCACAGAAGGACCACCCAGACCCTGCAGCTGTCTCTCCAGGCTGACTGGAGCTCCCACCAAGTTGCTTTATTGTCCTTACAGAAGCTGGAGAATCCAGGGGCTCCCCCAGGATTCTCTGCACAGACCCAGGAGTCAGCCCACCAAAGATAACAACTCCCTCTGCTCTTGGCCTTGGGGGGAGGGGAGGGGCCTGGGGGGGAGCAGCTCAGCAGCGGACCCTAAAGGTGCCACCACTTCTCTAGTCACCCAGCAGTTTCCACCTGGGGCTTCCCCCTGACTTGCTCTCTGCACCCCACACAGACCCATTCTCTTCTGCAGAGCCTCGCCATTTGCAAAGCAGAGGACAGAATTTTCATCCACTGGGTGCCTGCTTTGTGCCCGGCACCGGTCTAGGCTCCAGGAAAACACTGTGCACCCAGACGACGCGACTGGAACATGCAAGTCGGGCAGCGATGGTGGCTAGGGCTTGTTTTTCCTGAAGTCGAGTTGAAAACAGTATTATATTCGTTTCGGGTGTACAACATAGTGATTCGACATTTCTGTACCTTATGATGTGATCGCCCCATAAATCCAGTTACCATCTATCACCGTACAAAGTTGTTACAATAGTATGGACAATGTCCCCTGTGCTGTGCCTTACATCCTGTGACTTGTTTACTTTCTAACTGCAGGTGTGTACTCCCATGCCCCTTCACCTTTTCCATCCATCCCCACCCCCAGCCGCCCTCCCCTCTGGCATCCACCAGTTGTGCTCTGTATCCAACGGGACAAGCACAGGGTGGGATGGGGCCTTCCTGGGAGATCCGCACGGAGGAGCTGTGGGTTCCAGGAGGGACCCATTTCTCCTGAGATGTGGCCACTTCTAGGGCCAATGAAGACGCCACACCAAAAGGGGACCCCTCCTATTGCCTTAATCTGGGGAGAAGAAAGGAGCCAACAGCAACTTCTCAGGTGTTTGAGAGGAAGTCTATGTAGCGCTGGGCTACCTAACCTCGCTCCCAGGCAGTATCAGTGAGGAGTCCCCAGGACGACCCTTCCCTGGGACCGAGACCCCCAAAGCAAATGCCATCTTGTAATGAGACTGTTCTTCTGGTTACCACTTTATCCCCTAAAGTAGCTGAAAGATAAAACTGCCAGTTGCACATTGAATATTACATCGCACTTTAAAATTAGGCAGCTGTGCTATATTTGAAATGTACGGGAGAATTGGTTTGTAGCACTTTGTTTTTAAAGAACGGGGTGGTGTGGGGACTGGTATTCAGTCAACGAGCATCGGAGTAACTCCAGCTGGGCCAACAGGGGCTGAGTCTGCTGGTGAAGCTCCCTCGAACCCCTGACTGAACAAGGAAGGACCCCTTTTCTTCGGGGACCCACAGATGGCAAAACAAATACATCTCCTTCTGTGCCATTGAATGGACTGAACTCTCCCTGCAGGGGTGAGACCCCAGAGCTCACCCCACTTCTTCCCACGGGGCCTGGAGGAGGGAAGGTGTTGGTCACAGTGATGAGTCCTGCTTCTCGAGAAACGCGTACCCAGCTCCACTGCCGGACTCGAAATGAACCCTTCATCAGACAGAGAGAGGCCAAGGCACAGGTGCATTTCTCTCCAGTAGCCCCTCATTATGTTTTGTTTTGTTTTTTATCCTCACCCGAGGACATTTTTCCATTTTTTGTACAGACAGAGTGGGAGGGAGAGAGAGGAAGAGAGAGAGAGGGAAACATCGATGTGAAAGGGACACATCCAGTGGCTGCCACCCGCACAACCAACCAGGGCCGGGGACAAACTGCAACCGAGGTACGTGCCCTTAGCGGGAACCGAACCCGGGTCTCTCTGGACCACAGGCCGACGCTCTAACCGCTGAGCCAAACCGGCCAGGGCCAGTAGTCCCTCATTATGCACAGAACGTCTGTGTCCCTCAAATTCATATGTTGAACCCACCCCCCATGTGGTGGTGTTAGGAGGTGAGGCCTTTGGGAGATGATTAGGTTAGACGAGGTCATGAGGTGGGGTCCTCGTGGATGGGATTAGTGCCCTTCCACGAATCACAGACGGGCTCACTCCCTCTCTGTGCTGTCCATGTCAGCACGCAATCAAGATGTCAGCTGTCTGGGACTTAAAAGAGTGTCCTCACCAGAAGCCAAACATGCTGGCACCCCAATCTCGGATGTCCAGCCTCTAGAATGGTGAGAAATAAATGTCCCTGGTTCACCGTCCAGTCTCTAGCGTTTTGCTACAGCATCCCTAGCTAAGACATTTATCTTCCTCCACACTCCATTTCTGAGGTCTGTGTATGAGAACCAGCTCTGCCCTGATCTACCCATTAGGACAAAAGGCTTTATTTTCTTCCCAACAAGAAGATCCTGTGTTCAGCTGTGAGCAAAACTAACCCGAATTGCATTCCCCTCCAGCTATTTGTCAGGTAAGAAGTCCCCTCAGCAAGCATCTTCCTTCAGACTCAGCGGACGCCGACACGCTCAGTACGGCAACGTCTCTCGTCCGACGTGAGGACGAAAGGCCTGTCGTCCCAGCCGCCACCCTGCCCCCTTCTTTGGAGGGCTGGAGCTGGGTCCTTCCCAGAAGGTGGCCGCCCGGTAGCAGCTCGATCTGCAGGCAGCCCCTCCTCCGAGGAAGTCACCCACAGCTTCCTTCTTCCAGCTTGGAACCGAGTCTTTTCCCAAGTGTGCCTCCTTCCCCTCAGAAAAGCCCAGGGCACCCTCCAGATTGCAAGTCACAAGAAAAAGGCAGAAAGCATTTTGGCTCACAACTTTAATTCATTTCTGTCCCTCCACTGGGTCCTGGGGTCAACTTCAACGCTGCTGAAAGAGACACTGGACTCCCCCAAAGCTCTGGAGGGACAGGCCGGGATCTCAGGGAACGATGACAGGCAAGGCAAAGATGAGTGACCAGTGAATGCCATTTGAGGATCAATGTTCACAAAATTGTAAAGAGAGGGAGAAAAGAGGCAGGCAGGCTGGCAGGGAGCGTCACCGATGTCCAAACCCTGGGTCAGACCAACACACAGCACAGCCACTGCAAAATAAGGACACCAGGTGAGCTGGCTGCTCCTCTGGGAGCCACCGGGACTTTGCCAGGCATTTCCTGCCCCCCACGAATGTGAGCACGTCTATCTCTGTCCCCCAGTAAATGCCTTGCTCAATAAGAGGAAACCCTAACTAAGTCACCAACCCCTGAGCCAGAGCACCGCAGACATGTGGCTTAGGAAAAGCTTAGACACAAAGGGACTGCCCAAACCAGCCGTGTGTGCTCACGCATGTAAAAAACGTGCACACATACACTCAATGTCCGGTTCAACACTATTGCCCGGCATCTACCGGCCTCCACAGATATGTTGCTAGGACGGCCTTCCCCAATCGCTAGGAAGGGGTCAAGGGCATTCACACTTCGGAGAAGAAAAGAAAGTGGTTGTGTCCAGACCACTTGGCAGAGCCAGAGATAACCTGGTCTTCAAGAGGAACCTCGGACCCGGGACATTCCCTCCACTGCATCCCCCCGCTGCATCCCCTCAGGCGGGTGGAGGTCTCCGCTGTACATGCCTGCAGCCCCCACAGAAGGGCTATGGCACTGTCGACGTGAGACATTGTGTGACTTGCACACAGCGGGCCACTCGTTCATTCTGCATCTTCATTCTACTCGGTTGTAATTTAATTTTTGTTTCTAATGTCTTTCTACATGTCAATCTGAGACATCTGATCCTAGAAGGCACACGCTTTCCCTTGGACCCACCGCCCGCAATCCCATTCACATCAACAAGGGTTTGCATTCTTGAAATTATCTGGAATGTAAGTGTAGCTTAATGATAATAATAAGAATATTAGTTAATTGATTGATTGATTGATTTTAAAATGTTTAAAAGCCTGCATGACAATCATCTTCTTCCCCGCAATAGAACATGTGTCGTACCCACGTGGAAATAAGACAGGTCAGTATGAATAAACACCACTCGGTACCTATACTTTTCAAGAACTTCAAAGTACCATCAGCAAGCAGTTCATCAAAACTTGAGTCACTTACTTCAGCCAGAGAGAGCTGGACAAAGCCACTCTGGTCCTTGTCCAGGAGACTGAACAGCTCTAGAACACCAGGAACGGAATGAGGTTAGATAGGGATGTTCTTAACCTTTGGACCAGTCGGAGTTCTGCCTCTGTCCACCTCATCCCTACCTGGGGCCCTCCCCCCGACACCCCCCCAGCTGCCACCTAGCTGCAGGGACCCTGAATACCTAGACCTAGCTCCAGTGCCCAGGGTGAGGGTGTGGGGCAGCAGGTGCCCCCCGCCCAGATGGACAGACTTCCAGCTGTTAACAGAGATGGTACCCTTGTCATCCCCACCCTCAGAAGCTCTGAAAACTTGCAATTCTTTCTTTTCTAGAAACTGTCATTCTTTTAGGGGGCAGAGGAGGGCGGGGAGGGCATGGAGCAGATGACAGCCACCCCATTCGTGGGTAATCTGGTCCTTTACTTCGTTTCTGGCTGCCTGAACATTTCCCATCAGAACCGACCAACTCCCAGCCCTCAGTAGAAAGAAACCTCTCTCCCTTAACAGGATAGCTTAGCATGAGGCCAAGGCCCAAGAGGTCAGGAGAACACCCATTCATTGCCTTCCAGAGAGGGGCCCATGTCCCCTCCCTGGGAGGTGACACCTGCTCTCTATATGACCCCTATGGAGATGTGAATAGATACTCAAAGCCATTTAAGGACCATTACCTGGACCCATTGGCCGTGGCCAGTGACAGCATATAGTAGGTGCACAGTGATCTGGTGGCAGTTTTGCAGGTCCAAGAAAAGGCAGCCCCTGACCTTGGGCACGGCCAGCCTGGGCTTCCTCAGCACCTAGTTTCTGCTGCGCCTTGCCCAAGGGTGCCATGGCTCCCAAAGCCTGTCTGTTCTGCCTCCTGCCCCTCCCCATACCTCGGGAGAAATGGGATGGGGTCAAAGCTGAGAGTGACTCACTGAAGAGGGTCTCCAGGCGGATCATACAAGCAATGAAGCCATCAAAGTCAACGCTCAGATTGCTGCATGCGTACCGCATGGCGATGGTCTGCTGCACCTGGTCGCTGAGCGTGAAACCTGTGGGCAGAGGGGCCTGGGTCACAGGTGGAGTGGAGGGTTCCTCACTGCCTCCAACAGAACTCAAGGTGCTGACCTCCCGGGCCAGGCCTGACTCTGCCTCCTCTAAGAAACACCAGAAGGGTCTGATCGTCCAATTTGAGATTGTTCGCAAAGGATTAGCCTCTTCCCTGGTCCTAGACTAGGCCTGTAGCTCCCATACTAACCAGCTACGTATCACATGTGTCTCAGCAAGAAAAAAAGAGGCGAGCAACTGCCTCTTCTGCCCACCCTCTGCGGTTGTTGTCACCTCCCAGGGACAGGTGAAGCCCATGGAAAAGCCTGGAGTGCTTCACTATCCAGACCCCAGCAACACTCCCTCCTTCCTCAATGAGGAAGTTGCTCAACAAATCTTTGACATCCAACATAACTACCACCAATGATCGCTAGCAGACATCATCAAAATAACCAAAATGAGCCCATCCAGGTCCCAGGACCTTGTCCACAGGAGGTGTCCCCACCTGCCTTCCTGAGGGCTGTCCTCATCTCGTAGGCTTCGATGGTCCCCGAGTGATTAAAGTCGCTTTCCAGGTAGATCTCCTAAAGCAGGAGAGAAATTTCAGGTAGCCAACAGCTGTTCACGGCCCCTTCCAGAGCTGTCTCCCTCCACCCCACCGCTTCCTCGGAAGGCCAGGGACACCCTCAAGAGGAGGCCTCACTGACACCCCCAAGAATTTTTCAGAACAAAGAGAAGAGTTTGAGCTAAGGGCCAGTGCATGCCCCCTCACCCTCTGAATGGTAGGGCTTTCAGGGAAGGTGTTGGCATGAGCATCTCTCGTTGCCTTTGTGGTGCTTCCTGAATAACGTGTCCACGTTCTGTGTTGGTTTTGACCACGATTAGAGAGCTAGTCAAAGTAGGGCATGAACTAGACTAGGTGTGAGTGTCAGGAGGGCGAGGGGAGAGGGACCAGAGCCCAGAGGATGCCCATCAGGGACAGAAGAGTTTACCAGATATTTCTGAGTCTTCAACCACAGCGTCTTGAATTCCCCGAGTTCCAAGGTGCCCGTCTCGTTGCTCTTGGCATGTTAAAGGCCAACATGATCAAGACCAAAGTCTACATGTCTTATGGATTTCTGTCTCTTATGATCTTGCACAATGAGTGCCTTCAGGCCTTGGTGAACATCCGTGTCTGCATGTAAGCAGGGCCCTGGGGGTCATGGTGGGGAGGGCTGGTGGGAAACAAATTCAAGTAAAGACTAAAGAGTCAAACACTCACTAAGGACCTCCTTTGAGGTCAGAAACAGAGCTGGAAGCAAAGGGCTCATCAGGGGCTAACCACCCCTCTAGCAGTATGATTCATTAGCATCTAACGCCTGAGTCAACCTGGGTTTTCGAGAGGGTTGAGCTATATGATCTGTAGACTCATTTCCAGATTTAAATTTCTGTGATTGATAATGGAAATAATTGGTTGGTTAGAATGTCAAAATGTTATCAGAAGAGTCATCAGGAGCACCGGGTGGAAGCTCTCAGCCATGACAATCTCCACGTGCTGGTTGACGTGCCCCAGGGCAGCTCCGAGCTTCTCCACACTGACTCCGGGACACCAGGGCTCAGGAGCACAGTGGCTCATGGGCCACCCTCAACCAAAACAGGCAGAAAGTTCTGTGGAACCCTCTGTGGCCAAATCTTTATTGAGCCCTGGGCTAGACATTGGGGATTTGGTTTTGAACTGTACCTACGCATGAAGTTAAGTCCCTGAAACTACCTTTTTCTCAGAATCACAAGTAATCGATAAACCCCAGCGTATCACAGCACAGATGTTATAATTCTAGAACAGACCATCAGTCTCACCTCCTTCAACTAGCCAAGCAAAAAGTCGTGTTCGCGCCCAAAAGCGTAAACCTCAGCCTTAAGAAAATCAATGTTCTTGTCTCTCTGATGCGCCCGATGTGTTGACGGCACCACAGCCTTCAACACCCCCCACACACACCCCACCCCACCCCGACCACCAGCGATTCCACCAGCACAGCTCAGAAGAGTCGTGTGCAAGGGGAGCTTCTGCTCTGGTCTAAGCACTCAGTATCCTTGCATCTCATTCCATCCTCACAGCAGTCATAGGAGCTACAAATTGTTGCCCCATTTTCCAGGAGAAGAAACTGAGGTTCAGAGCATTTAGTAAGTTCTCCAAATGTATACACCTCATAAGTGGGGCAGCCAGAATTTGGATGCCTGTTCTACAGCCCTTGTCCCAGGGCACCAGGGGTCCTTGGTCCACATGGAATTACCTGCAAGAACCAGGCCTCATGCAGGCCTATTGACTCGGCATCTCCAGGAGTAAGACTAGGCCAACTGTGTTTTTAAAACCCGCGGGCAATGAAGTACTGACACCTGCTGCAGTACTTGACATGTCACGTCAAGTGAACGAATCCAGTCACCAAGGACCACATGTTGTATGATCCCACTTCTATGAAATGAAATGTCCAGAGTAGGCAAATCTAGAGAGACAGGCTATGTTTGGGGGAGGGGGGTGCCAGGGGGGAATGAGGGAAATGGGGAGTGACTGCCAATATGGGCACAGGGTCTCTTTGGGAGGTGACAAAAATGCTCTGAAATGGGTTGTGATGTTTGCAAACTATCGATACACCAAAAACAACACTGCACTGGACCCTTTCCATGGGCACCTCATGTGGCATGTGAACTATAGCTCAATCCAGTTTTTATTTTTACAAAAGTCTCCCTGGGCATTTCTGGTTCAGAACCACTGCCCCCCACCATCCAAACTGGGGCACGGACACTCCTGAAGAATGACAGAGTCGACAGCCCCCTTGGAGCCACGCGCGACGCCAACACCCCGGGAAGGATGCGTGGGGCGACTAGGTCGCTCTCACATCTAAACTGAAGTCCGCGCGCAAGTTTGAGAAGAGTGGTCCGATCGAGGAACCATTTGCAGCAACGTGGATCCGCAGGCCGGGAGGACACGGAGCTGAGGGCCCGGCATCTGAAGGTCTGCGGCCAGAAGAGGAGCCCCGCCCCCGCGTGCCGATGACCGCAGCAGAGGTCAGCACGCAGGGCGGCTGGCCAGGACACCCCACGTGACCCCGCGCAAGTAAACACCCTTCCTCTCGCCCAGAGGCCAGTAGGTCGCACTGTGATTGAGGCCCTAAGAGCTGACGGGAGCCCTCCAGGCTCCAGTTTTTAAAGAAATTGCTTCACCATCCGCCCCATGGAGCCTGGTGACTGGACCTAGACTAGGCCAGGTGTCAAGGAGTTGACATTGACCCTTCTCTCTCTATGCTGTCCTTCTGCCTAGAAAACTCTGAACGTACCCTAAAGTCTGGAGTGAGGGTTAACTTGGGTCAGAGAAAACAAACAGGTTTCATCTCGTGTGATAAAACTGTTGGTAGTGGCCATGGGAGGGCTAGGTTAAGACTTGGCATCAAAGACCAGCTGGGATGGGGATGGGCAGGGAGGGGGAGGGGCAGAGGGAGGAGAGTGGAAATACAGCCTGGAAGGAGGGGTACTGTGGTTAACCAGGAGGCCAGGCACAAATGCCCCACAATTCCTAAATTACAGGAGTTTAAAGAAGTCACTTTCCCCGGCTGGAGTGGCTCAGTGGTTGAGCATGGACCCGTGCACCAAGTGGTTGCTGATATGATTCCCCGTCATGCACATACCCAGGCTGTGGGCCAAATCCCCAGTGGGGGGCATGCAGAAGGTGGCCAATCGATGTTCTCTCTCATCGATGTTTCTGTCTCTCTCTCCCTCTCCCTTCCTCTCTCTCTAAAAAATCAATAATGAAAAAAAAAATTTTTGTAATAAATAAATAAAGAAGTCACTAAACACTGCCTGCCTCAGTTTCTCCACCCGTAAAATAGAGATCGTCTCGAGCCTATTGAGGAGCAAACATGAGATGACATTTTTCTTCGAAGCTAAGCGGGACACTGACACCCCTTCAGTACACGCTGGTCCCTCCTCCTTCCTCCTTTTTCTGCCCCTCGCCCTCCTCGCGGGGAAAGGTTGAAGAGTTGTTGGAAACAGAGAAAAGCACAAGTAATGCGCCGTTTAAAGGATACGTCCATCAGGCTGATCATCTCCCTGCAAGTGTTGATGTCGAATCCGTTGAATTTTATGTCTGTTCCTAACAATTTTAATAGAAAAGGGGGGTTCAGGATTGTTTGAACACAAGGGGGAATAATCTGCACAGCAAGAGGCCACCAGAGGCTCCAGCCAGAGAGTGGAGCCAAGTGTGATCCCCACAGAAAGGGATGTGCGCCGTGGCGGGCTCCCCGGCAGAACCCCCCGCTGTCCCCACACCTGGGGCGGTGGTACTGGTGGCACCGGCGTCAGGGCTCAGCGTCTGACCCTCGGCTCTGCTACTCACGAGCCACGGGACATCAGCCAACTATTACCCTCCAGAATCCCCCAAACACTGGCTGGGATTAAATGACATCATATAAGTAACGTTCTTAGCGCAGTGCTTGGTATATGGTAAGTTCTTATAAAATAAAACGGCTTGTTTCTTATTGGCTAGGTATTGTCCTAAGCACTGTCCAGCTTCCCCTGACAATAACCCCATGTGGTACCTAGTATCACCGTTCCCATTTTATAGATAAGGGAACCGAGGCCCAGAGAGGTTAAATACTTGGCTCAAGATCTCACGACCAGTAGGGGGCAGAGCTGAGAGTCAGACACAGGCCATCTGGCTCCACAGCCAAGCTGTGCTTTTAACCTGCTCACAGCAGCTGTCCCCAGTGGCTAACTGGGGGCTTCTCCCTGGAGCTGCAGCCAATCCTGGCCTGCACCCTCACCTGCCCACACCTGGGAGCCAGGCAAGAAGGCGCCAAAGACCCAGTGGCCCTCTCCCCTCCTCCAGCTCTTTCCGCAAAGGCAGGAGTGAGAGCTGGAGGGGGAGGGGGGGATCCAGCCAGGCTCTGCCCCGGCTCTGGAAGGACTTGCCCTTGGCCGCCAGCCGTGCCCTGCGTCCTGCTACAGAGGGCGAGCATGCCTGTCACTGAACCAGCTGGAAGACTCCACCGGACCCATCGCTGGGCCAGACAGGAAGCCAGCTCCGTGCCAGCTCCCATGAGGCTGGGGTTCAGAGGGGAACAGTGAGGGTTTCCTCCTGGGGGCAGCTGGGTCCCCTGACAGCCCCCAGGACTTGCTAAAGCATGAGGTAGGGAACTGCCTGGGCTGCGGCAGTCAAACCATCCTTCCCACACTCCACCCCCCAGGTGCCCTCCAGGGGTTCAATCCGCAGTTTTCCGCGGTAACTGTTTGTGGGAGAATCCTCTTAGGTCACTGTCAGCCCAGCTTCCTCCTCCCGGGACTCAAGACTCTGTCCTGCAGGGCCCAGCAGGCTCCCCGCCTCTCCAGCACCCCGTCCCATCTCCTCTTGCCTGCTGATGCTCTCTCGGCCCAGAGGGAACCAGGACCCTGGGGTTGGAGGCCAAAGGCCCCTTTGTCCCGTCTGGGGTTCCGGGCCCAGCACCTACCCCCACCCTCACCCCCAACCCGGCATTTCTTAGGCTCTCACGACTTTCTGAAAAGCCCCAAGAAAGGACTTACGTTTGGAAAACGTCTCATTGAGAATGGTCTTGAGCTCATTGGCACCGATCTCAGAACCCTGGGAAGAGAAATGCAGACCATGTCATGTCTCAGGCCCCGACAAGATTTCCAAGATGCTAAAGTAATGTAGGGTCAGACACCCGGACCGTGGGCCCTGTGATTTCAAAAGGCGATGACATCTTTTGTTTTTGTTTTTTTTTTTAATCCTCACCCGAGGATATTTTTCCATTTTTTGTACATATAGAATGGGAGGGAGAGAGAGGAAGGGAGGGAGAGAGAGAAACATCGATGTGAAGGGACACATCGAGTGGCTGCCACCCGCACAACCAACCAGGGCCGGGGACAAACTGCAACCGAAGTACATGCCCTTAGCGGGAACCGAACCCGGGTCTCTCCAGACCGCAGGCCGACGCTCTAACCGCTGAGCCAAACTGGCCAGGGCCGATGACATCTTTTAACACTCAAGTTCTGTTTCCCTGGGGTTCCCACAGCCTGGGGGTGGTGTGCGTTCATGGCATGAGCGTGGTGCGGCCGGGGCAGAGGCAGCCGGGGTGGGCACTGCCTTTCTCGGGCGAGCTTAACCCACAGCTGAGGGTGGTGGGTCTCAGATAACAGGAGCAACACCGATGGCCACACCCCCGATGTGGAATACTCTCAGCTTTTCAGAACGACTTCATCCGCTTTAGGCTTAAAGACGCTATGATTTTGCAAACTGCTAAACTCCACACACACACACACGCAATCTGCGATCTCTATGCAACATCACGGCTTTGGGGTTCACGGCTGCCAAGTGGCGAGCTGGATCTTAAAACCTAAGTCGGTCTCACCCCAAAGCACCTGCTTTTCTCGCTGCACCTGTGGGAGCGGCCCTTCCAATCAGTAGCTCAGCTCATACTGGGAGCAGGGATTTAGGGGACTGGGATTTCCCGCAGGCCCTTGGGATAAACACAGAGCCAGAGGGAAGATGGGTTCCAGAAGCCTCAGCTGGAGGACAGATGTCAGACAGGATGACAAATAAGGTACAGAGGAGGGGCGCCGGACTGAGCCCTGGGTTCCAATCATGACTCTGCCTTTTACTTGCTGTGTGACCTTAGCCCAGTCACTTCCCCCTCGTGAAGTGTGGTTTTATCCTTTGTCCCCAGGGTGGTCCCACTTCTCCCATCCTCTCCCCCAGCCGGCCCAGCAATTCTATTAAAAACAAATGAGGTCACCCTGCTGGTGTGGCTCAGTGGTTGAGCATCGACCCATGCACCGAGAGGTCACCGGTTCGATTCCCGATCAGGACACATGCCCAGGTTGTGGGCCCATCCCCAGTGGGGGGCATGCAGGAGGCGGCTAATTGATGTTCTCTCTCATCGATGTTCCTCTCTCTCTCTCCCTCTCCCTTCCTTTCTCTCTAAAATCAATAAAGAAAAAGGAAAAAAGCCAAGCGGGGTGCTAGCCGGGCAGAGCAGTGTCTCCTGTGAGGGCAGCTGGTCCCATCAGGCCCAGGGTGGTCCAGCAACAAGTCTGAGGACCCCCGGAACCCCCAGCATGAGACTGTTTTCCCCATTAGCTTGCCAGGAAGGAAATGGGATGTTGCGAGTCTGTGTTGGGACCTTGGCCTGCCCCTCTCGAGGCCTGTGCCCCAGCCTCTCTGTGCCTGTCCCTTCGCCCCCAGAGAGGGGACGTGCCCCACGCTGCCCCGCGCTCCTGGAGAGAAAAGATAAGGTGTGCGAAGAATTAGTGTACAAACGTGAGCTTCTATTTTCCTGCTGTTTCTAATGTTCGTATTAAATGTGCCCCCTCGGCAGCTAAGGCCACGAGGCTTCGTCAGTAAAAGTGCTGGTTTGAGCCTCCGCTGGCAACACGGACCGACTCACGTCGCCAGGGGTCCTTTCGTGGCTGCAGGGGAACCGTGTCCTGGGCTTGCTTTCTTCTTTTTTTAATCTTTACCCGAGGACATTTTTCCATTTTTTGTTCAGATAGAGCAGGAGAGAGAGGAAGAGAGAGAGAGAGAGAGAGAAACATCGATGCAAAAGGGACACATCGAGTGGCTGCCACCCGCACGACCAACCAGGGCCGGGGACAAACTGCAACCGAGGTACATGCCCTTAGCGGGAACCGAACCCGGGTCTCTCTGGACCGCAGGCCGACGCTCTAACCGCTGAGCCAAACTGGCCAGTACAGATTTTCTGCTTTCTTAAGAGACAGGCCACACAGTGAGAAAAGCGGGGTCAGGACCAGGATCACCATCCACATGCCCAAGGGGAAGGCCTCATGCCCGGGACGCAGGGGCAACAGGCAGGAGCTGCGGTCCTGGGACCCATGGTCTCGCCTTTCCACTCGGACTCAAGGGAACACAGACTGAAATGACGAGTGTCCGGACGCTTGTCCTGTCCTCGTCTGGGAGGCTGCCTCTGCCCTCCACTCACCTGCCCCACGAGCTTCTCGAACAGGTTGTGGAACTGGCCATCGTCTCGGGCCCCCTCGCCGGGGTGCGGCTGAGAGCAGGACAACGCAGAGTTAACACGGGACTCGACTGTGGCTCAGGCAGCCGAGGACATAGGAGCTTGGGAGCCAGCTATCTGCCAGGTGACTCAGTAGGTCTGCCCCCCACCCACCCAGCCAAGGACAGCAGCCGCGGCAGACACCTCAGTCTGTCTGGGGACACACATGCCGTGGTGAAAGCTGGACCGGCCCCTGAAGAGTCCTGCCGCACCTCTGGCCCGTGCCCAGTGTGCCCCATGACACTGCCCCTCATGGAGCAGCCACATCATCTGAGGACACGAGGGAAGAGTGCAGGGAGTACTCTGTGCAAACCCTGTGCATGTCATCCTCCAACATCTGCTCTGGATCACCTCCTCCAGGGAGCCTTCCCAGACCAGGCAGTTACTCCAGCACCCCTAGACCGCACACACGCAGGTCCAGGTCTGCTTCTGCGTGAGCATCCCTCACCTTTTCATATGCCGCCATCATCTGTCCCCTGACAGACTAAGAGTGGGGGGAGGCCGGATCTCTTTCACCCCGTGCCTTCTCTGTTCACACAAAGTGCTCTAGCTGCGGGTCTGGATGACTGGAGGGGGGCAACACTAAGACCCCCGCTTTGGGGGGTGGGGGAGATGAGTAGCTGCTTCTGTCTCATTTTTATCAAGAAGAGTCAGGGCCTAGAAAATGTGGTGGCCCTGATGAATGAAAAGCCCTTCATGTATAAAGGATCATCCTTCATATATAAAGAGATCCCATGAATCAATGAGATGTGCTGAATAGCCACTAGGCAACAGTGTCAGGGCTTGGTGGCATACCTCATGGGGACTTCCGGCCACCACGTCTCCAACTTCCCTGAAATATAAAGAAAAAGATAAACCAAATATAAGTAAGTGAAAATATAGCTAATGGCTAGGTCCTTTTAGGAAGTTTTTGGCCCTTCTGGGGAACTGGCTTCCCACCCAAAACCTGCATTCAGTGCTTACTGGCCCCAAACTGCATAAACCAAAAATGTAACCAGGGTCCCTCCCCACCCCACCAGAGTTGTCGGAATTTTTACTTGCTTGGTTGTTTGTTTTGTTTTGACCAGAGACAAGAACTGCCAAGTTCAGCTGGCCCTTGATGGGATCTAGAATGTTTGCCCTGGTGGACCACTCTCTGGAGAATTCTTCCTTCCTTTGCCCCATTTACCACTGTTCTCTCCTGAGACCCAAGCTCTGTGAATCTCTGTCGAACGGCCTCCAGGGACTGAACCCGCAAACTCACGTGTGCATGTCTACATGGACGTGGTGAGTGCTGTAGTGTCTGTGTGCGTTTCTGTATGTAGGGTACATGTGGTGTAGGTATGTGTGTGTGTGTGCATGTGTGCATGTGCGTGTGTGCATGCGTGTGTGTACATGCGCATGTGTGTGCGTATATGTGTGGTGTGTGTGTGAGTAAGGAGAGGACTCACATGTCCACCGTGCTGGGAGGAAAACCCTCAGCGGGCTCTTACTGGTGTCTCTTCTCTCCAGCCTTGACTATTTTTTAAAAGAAAATTCCCCGTGTGTCCCGTAGACCGAGGAGGGGCAGGAGGGAGCACCAGTGAGGCCCCTTGGGACCTGTGGTGTTTTACACGTTTCTTCTGGGGAGCATCAGCTGGGAGCCGAGGGCGGGTCACTCACAGTGACAGGGCCACGCCCCTCCGTCGCCCGGGCACCCAGACCTCCCCTCCCCATGCAGAGGAAGGACACGCACAGGGCCCCCGCCTTCTTCTCCGAGAACAGCCTCAGGCAGAAGGCGCCGTCCTGGAAGGGCTGGAAGGTGGACGGCACCACCAGGTACTCCCCCAGGGGCAGCCGGACCCGGGCGGAGACCTCCCGCAGGTTGACATAGGTGCCGGAACGGGCCGAGGGCTGGTGGTCCAGGAAGAAGCGCTGGCCCAGGTGCACATCTGTGTGACTCTCCAGCTGCACAGAGAGGATGGTCAGGGTCAATTCCCCTGGGACCCAGAAGGCGAGGGCCAAGCTGGTTTCATGTTTCCGACTGCAGGATGGGAGACTTAACCCTGGGCCAAGAATCAGGAGGCCTTGGGTTCTGTTGTGAACCCACCCAATTCCAGGCCCCATTCCATCCACTGACCTTGACTCTGTGACCCTGGCCAGACCCTTAGCCCTCTTCCTGGTTAAACGAAGTGTCCAACCGCAGGGTCCCTGTGGGGTGGGTGCCCAGCTTCTCTCTGGGTATTTGTCCTTGTGAGTCACCCACGCTGACCCCGACACTCTTATTCTGTGGCTGTGGCTGGGGTGAGGTACTGGGCGCCCAGTACAGGCCCGTGGCCGCAGAGGTGTCTCAATGCTGGTCCTCACCCTGGCCGGTTTTGCTCAGTGGTTAGAGCATCGGCCTGCGGTCCGGAGAGACCGGGTTCGGTTCCCGCTAAGGGCACGTACCTCGGATGCAGTTTGTCCCTGTGCACTCGATGTGTCCCTTTCACATCAATGTTTCTCTCTCTCTCTCCCCCTCCCACTCTATCTGAACAAAATATCAAAAAATGTCCTCGGGTGAGGATTACAAACAAACAAACAAACAATCAATGCTGGTCCTCGAGCGAAAGCAGCCGCGAGGGTCTGCCCACCGGGGAAACTGCTCTGCGCGGTGGCCAGGGCCGGCAGGCTGGGAGGGCAAAGAGGCGGCTCCTAAGGAGGCAGGCGGGGGCACAGCCCAGCCTCGCTCGGGCCTCGGCGCTCCCCGGGGAGGGGAGGATGCGCTCCATGACCCTCTGTGTGCTGGACAGAGAGGGGGACTGTTGATGTGACACAGGCTAATTAGTGACCACGGATGCTTCAAAAACACAGGTGTCGGAGTTGTTAGTGCTGTAATTAAGCCTCCCCTGCCCTGTATCCTATGACTGATCTCCATCAAGATGCGTGTGACAGAGGGCAGGTGCTGACAAGCTCCCAGGGCTGTGACATCAGTGTGACCCAGAGCCAGAATGCCCACCGCAGACGGGACCGTGTCCACTTACAGTCAACCGACCCTCCTGTGTCACCAGTCTGCTAAGCAGGGGAGAAAGCAGGGCCACCTGCCTCCCTGCCCTGGCCCGGACTCCACAGGGATGCTGACCTGGGCACAAGGGCGGCCACCAGTCTAGGGATTCCCCCGAAAACATTTCCACACTGCGCAGAATGCTGGGGGTGACCAGCAAGGCGGCGCCAAGGTCTAAGCATCGTGGAGTTCAACGTCATTCCTGCTGTCCCTGATGACAGCAGGGGAGGACACGGAACCGTCGGGGAAGTCTCAGAGCTGAAGTGGGGAAGGGAACCCTAATTCGGGTTGGCGGGGAACGGGGTCAACTGAATTCGAGCAAGAAGCCAGGGGTGGGACAGACTAGAGAGGCCCTGTTTGGGAGACCAGAGTGGGCACTGGAAGGCACAGAGGCAAGACCTGGGTCCCCTCTGCCCCACCAGGCATGTGCCACCAGGCCTCTGGCCCTGGTGTCCTCCCTTGGCATGGCTCCACCAGGGGTGACAGGGTGGGGCTCGAGCAGGTTGAACCGAGGATGTTTCTCAAAATGTGGGCCCAGGACCAGCATGAGCATCCCCGGGGAACTTGCTAGAATGCAGCTTCTCAGGCCCCCTCCGGAGCTCCCAACTCAGGAACTCTGGGTTGGGGCCAGCAATCCGGGCTTGCAAGCCCCCAGGGGAGTCTGGGGTAGTGATGGGACAACTAGTGACTGAAGACCTCAGCACCTGCTCGGCACAGGCTCCACAGCGACACTTTGAGGGCACTGGGGGCGCTGTGGAGCAGAGTTTCACGTGTGCGGAGGACCTCGCTCCTATAAATGGGACATTTCTGGCGGGACCACCATCGTCCAGACGGAACTCCGGTTTGGACTTGATCATTTTCCAGCAGAGGGGAGATGGGTGCTCTTCAGCACACCTACACCGTTGCCCGTTACCTCCATAATCAGTGACACCCATTCGTGAGCAACAGGAGGTAGACCAGTAGTCTGCAGCCTTGGCACACGATGCAGGCTGGAGTACATGAGCTGGGGCTTCACCACCACCTGCTGCACACCTGGCCGAGTCTGAGCACCCAGGAGGGCAGAGGTAAGACTGGAGCAGGGCAAATACACCTCTACCTAACTAGTGCCCCTGCGTCCACCTGGGGGCGCCCCAGACAGCAAATGAGTCTTTCTCAGGTGGCACATTGGAAGCACTCCAGAGATTCTGATATACAGTAAGTCCTGACTTAATGCCATTAATAGGTTCTCAGAAACCAACTTTAAGCGAAAATTGTATAAGGAAACCAGTGTTACCACAGGCTCATTGAGAGAAACAAGTCCTGTTCCTGTGATATATTTCTGGTCACGAAAACATTCCCAAACTTCTCAATAAAGACCCAAATCCCTTCTGATAGTAAACACTGAAATAAGTGTGAGCTCCGCATACATTTCAGAAAGAGGCATGAAAACAAGATATTATTTCCCAGTCCTCGTGTCCTAATTCAGGGTCTTGGGTGGCCGGAGCCTCCCTGGGAAGCTCAGGGCACAGGCAGGACCCACCCTGGCTGCACCCACCAAGCCCTGGTGCTGCCCGGGGCTCCTCCCTCCAACTGGCCACGGCAGATGGGAGAGCTGACTGCAGCCTGGGACGGCGACAGGAAATCCCAGATGTAATTATGACAAAGATGCTATGTCTCCCTAAGCCAGTTATGAATCCCTGGGGAGGCGCAGGAAAAGCTGGGCGCCGAAACCATGAAGTGTCGTGGGAAAGCAGGGCCTTGATTCTGCCAGCGAGGTAAAGAGGGCCCGAGTTGAGCTATCATCACGTTGCTGGGATCAAGCCACCAGGACACGGGGGCCAGGGTCACCACTGTCCCCTTGCTGGCAGGACGGTGGGAGCCAGCACTGTCCTGACGGGCTCTGAGGGTTACCTGCTCCCCGGATGTGTCGGAGGGAGTCTGTTTGTGGGAGCAGCAGCTGCCACACTGCGAAGGCAGCCACAGTGTCTTACCAAAGGAAGGACATCTGTCGGCGCTCACATACCTCTTTGGGGACCTACAGGGCAGAGAAAACATCAGGTCACCTGAGAGTGCCGAAGTCCTCCCCCTTCCGCGTCCCTCCCCATGTCCTGCACAGACTGGGCCATGCTGGGCCACTGGGGAGGGGACAGCGCTGGAGTGAGACACTGGTCAGCATTTCTAAAACCGGAACGTCACTGACGAACTTCAAGGCCATCTGTAGACTACCGAGCCCTAGAAATCTGAAAGGAAGAAAAAGGTTCTCTTTTTTTACTTTATTTTCTAGTTGTGTGAGCTACCAGGATCCCAAACTCTTCGAGAGCAATAACCTCGGGGTGTAAACGAGAGCTGGCATGATCTTATAGACCAAGGGGACCTCAGCCAGCCTGAGCCACAGTGTACCCCCCGTGGCCACACTGACTGCTTCGAGAACAGGCCGTGACCGTGACCACGGTGAGTCCATCAGAGACATCTCCAGGATTTGGGGATTGAACAAGGGAAGCAGGCCCTTCTTTTATGCTGTGATGTTTCAGACGCTGGGAAGAAAGCTGGACCAGGAGAATGGCAGACAGACAGCAGAGAGGTGTGCAGGGCAGGGCCCTGAGAAAGGCCAGTCCCTTGTCCCGAGCACCCGTCCTTCCCTGGGTTTGGGGACACAGCTGGTGAATTCCTTTTTCATGGGACTAGGTAGAGCCGGGCTCTGTTACTGTGTCTAGAAACACTGGCTCCCACAGGACACCCACGGAGGCAGGCGGCCCTCCAGGCCCAGGGTCAGAAGAGGGTTTGAGCCCCTGTCACTATCCCCTTTGTCCCTGCCACCGCAGGCCCCTTGGCCCAGAAAATCTGCAGAGGAGCTGTGTGTGGCTGTCTGTGAGCTGCTGCCTAAGACTCTGGGGGAATTAAATTAGGGAAAGTCTGCTCATTTAATGACTCAGCTGGCCTCCTCACGCCGCAGCCTAAGTTTGTAATTGTCGGCGGAAGTCGAGAAGTCCAGGCCCCGTGACTCCTCTAACTTGGAGTTAAAGCTGAAATCATCCACGCAGAGGCCGCGGCTGTCCGGAACAGCAGGGTCTTCGTGACATCTGCCTCCCTGCTCCCTGCGTAAGGCCGGCACCCTGGCAGGCCCTGTCTCTTCCTGCGGCCTTCCCCGCCACACCCACTGCCCTGTCCCACCGCCTGCTGCCTCCCCGCCCACCCACTGCCCACTGCCCTGTCCCTCCGCCTGCTGCCTTCCCCGCCACACCCACTGCCCTGTCCCTCCGCCTGCTGCCTTCCCCGCCACACCCACTGCCCTGTCCCTCCCTGCTGCCTTCCCTGCCACACCCACTGCCCCACTGCCAGAGTCACCATCACCCAGAGGGCGGGACCAAGCCATCACCCGGAGGTGGCCCCCGCCCTTGTCCTCTGATGGATGGAAATGGACCATCATCTTTGAAATGCAGGATCCTGAATGCAAGTGACAGGCCTGCCCCACATGAGCCTGGTGTCCCCGAAGGATAGGACAACAACAGGACAGTCACCAAATAGGTCCTCAGCCTCAAACCAGACCCCAGCTTGTAGACAGTTAAAGCCAGAGGAGGCAGTTAAAAGGGTCAAAGAACAGTACCCCTTACAATCCCTACATCCCTTCCCTACAACCCCAGGTACCCCCACAACCCCAGGTACTCCCACAACCCCAAGCATTTCCTACAACCCCAGGTACCCCCTACAACCCCAAGTACCCCCTACAACTACAGGTATTCCCTGAAACCTCAGGTACACTCTATAACCCCAGGTACACCCTACAACTACAGGTACTCTCTACAACCTCAGGTACTCCCTACAACCCCAGGTACACCCTACAACTACAGGTACTCTCTACAACCTCAGGTACTCCCCACAACACCAGGTACTCCCTACAACCTCAGCGGAGCGGACGCAGACACAAGTGCCTGTTTAGTGGACTCTGGTTTGGTGTCATTACCCTCGAGGTGGGGTGGAAGGGCTGAGCTGGCAGAGAATTAGCTGATTTATCTGGGATCCTTTTCTCCTGCTGTCAAGCAGCAAGTATTCTCCAACATGAGATGCTCACACGTGCCCACACCCTGCTCTGAGGCCCTGCGCTCTGAACTAAGAGAAAGAAGGGGGCTGGAGGCGGGTCCGCTCAACAACTGCCCTTTCCCGTACTGGTTTCCTATTTCGCTTCTTTTTCTCTAAATGACTGCAGGGGTGTGTGCTGAGACGTCGGGCATCTAAGCCAGCTCTGAGTCTTCCTGATTAGAACTGAGTTTTTCCCAAGAAATTCATTTTTATCAAAAGTGTATTAAAACAACCACTATGAATCCCTCCAGAGTTGGTTATAAGGAGTCTCTGCCTGTATAAAAAAGGGGATTCCCGCCCTGGCTGGTTTGACTCAGTGGTTGGAGAGGCGGCCTGCGGACCAGAGAGTCCCGGGTTCGGTTCCCGCTAAGGACACGTGCCTCGGTTGCAGCTTGTCTCTGGCCCTGGTTGGGGTCGTGTGGGTGGCAACAGTTAATGTGTCTCTCTCACATCAATGTTTCTCTCTCTCTCTTCCTCTTTCTCTCCCTCCCACTCTATCTGAAGATAGATGCAGAAATGTCCTCAGGTGAAGATAAAAAATAATAATAATAAATAAAAAAGGGGGTTCCTGGCCAGGCTTGTCGAGATCCAGAGGCCTAGCTTTAACGTATCTGTCAGGCTGTGGACTCCGCAGAAGGTGGTCATCAGTACAAACTGGCGTCTTGAGCCAGGACGCAGCCTGACACCACCGTCCGCTGTGGCGCCCAGTCCAGAGACACTGGAACCGCAAATGGCCATGTAAGCAGCATCCTTCACTTCAGGCTACGCCCTGTGCGTCCCAACAAGAGCCTGAAGTAGTCCAGGGAGGAAGGGGTGTTTGTCCGTGGCTCCTATGTCCAGACTCCCTTCCCCTGTTCTGTGATGCCCTCATATTCTCTATGTTACCTCAAGGCTTTGTACCCCACATTCTTGGCTCCTGTCCCCCGAGAAGCCTATACTTGAAAAGAATCGAATAAGCATGTTGACACTGAGCCTTCAACGACAGGCAAAGTTTAATCAATGACGTCTCCATGTTCACAGCAGAGACTTAAGCCATAGGAATGAATCTCTACCTGTGGAATTCAGGCACTTAGGTGTGCAAGAGGAGGCTTAATTAGAAATAGTCACGCAATAGGACAGATGTGCTCCAACGACTGGCCAGAGTGTCCTGACCCGAGGCAGCAGGCGCGCAGGGACGGCCGACCCAGCTCGGCAGTACCTTGTACACGGCGTAGCCGATGCTCAGCAGGCCCTGCCCGATCCTCTTCTGCCGCCTGCGATTCTTCTGCATCAGACCCAGCAGCACCGTACAGCAGGGCTCATCAGTGCCCTCGTCCTGGTGGGCATCCACCTCGTTCAAACGGATTTTGAACTGCGGATTGGTCCAGTAAGTGGCTAGAAGTCACCAGCGATGGTGGTTCCCCCACGGGGAGTGAGGAGACCGGAAGAATAAAACAGGAGGGAAGAACCTCAGTCATCCCAAGGAGAGCATAGGTCTGGCCAAGCTCTACCTGGTAAACCAGCCTCAGCAAGTTCCCTTTACAGGACGGTGAGGCATTTTCTCCTAACTCCCTCCCCCACCCACCCACCCGCGGAAACATCCCATTGAGTTCGGAAGCTTATCGCATGTCCAGTTGACCCACGGGGAGCCCAGGAGAGCTTGACTGGGGATGCTCACGGTCTCCCACAGTCCCCCGCTCTGTTACCCTCCCCCTTAAGAAGTAACTTTCAGCTCTTCCTGGAGAAATGTTGCACACCCCTTGGTCTCAGCTCCTCGTCTGTGAAGACAAACCCACCTTCTAGCAGAAGGGAGACCTCTGGGTAAAAGCGTGACCCAGGGACACGTGAGGGCACAGCCCAGAGGAGGGGCGCTACCTAGGAGGCCCCTGCAGACAGGCTGAGAAGACAACCACTCTGCACCCTGAAAAGTGCTGCATAATGGCCGCAGGTTCTCTCCCAGACAGGCCCCAGCTTCAGATCACAGCCTCAAACCGCCCTAATTGCTGATCCGTCTCTCAGCCCAGGGACCTCACTTGATGGTTCAGTGCTGCAGCCCGCTGATGAGACATGCTTCCTTCCAGAGTGAGTCACTTAATAATGCATGAGAAATAATAATTGGCAATTAAGAAGTATGCCTGTCACACCACCTATGGATATTTCAAAAGACGGCTTCATTTCAAATCGGGTTTTCTCAAATACCCTCGCAACATGCTGACTACACTAGCCAAGGCACAGAGGGGTTGCATAGGTCACCCCAAGGCACACAGCAGTTCTGTGACAGTCGAGTGCAGAGCCTAATTGAAGAAGGCAGCCTGACAGCAATCTCCATGTTAGGGCCTCACCAGTTTCAATAATGATACGCCCTGGGGGGAGGGGAGTGGAGAGGGGGGAGTTCTTACAGCCTCTAAACAAGAGTCCAAATCGATGAATGAACAAGGCATTCACAGGTGACCAAGAGCCACTGATTATTATTTTTTCCTTAGCAATCAGATTACTTATTCAATTCCACCTTCCCAGAATCTCCACTTCCCGATTCTTGTATTTCAGACACAAGGGTGCGGATTTTATAGCCAAATATGTTCCGGTTCCAGAGGAGACCGAGACAGTTCTGTAATCTGTACTCACAGGGTCACCGAAGGGCACACACCATCCACCTCCTCCCGCGGCACAGATGGGGGAGTGATTGGCACATGCAGACACCTTGGGCGCCCCCTGCAGCTCGGAGCCTCCCCAGATGATCCCTGCGGATTTCCTACGCACTTTCTCCAAGCTCCCTAACAGCCAGCATATTTTAATTTCTCCCACGTGCAACATGAGTGCAATCTCTACATTTTTCTGTTTACTGCTCAGTAGAACTGGAGGGCGAGAACGGGCCATAACAACGTACGTGCCATTTGTAAAACACTCCCCACTTCCAAAGCCTTGCAGGAGGTGGGTGTCCTCACTGCACTTACGAGGGAGGACTGGGAAACTGAAGCTGGGAAAGGCCCCTCCCCGGGGTCCCACCGCTGGCAGGCGGAGTGCCGGGGCGGGAGGGAACCTCGCCTCCTTCCTCTCTGCTCAGCTCTGGGTTGGATGGATGGAGGATGAAGGAGAGAGCTGGTCAAGACCCAGGCTGCACGCAAGTGGGACTTTATTATGATGCCGCTTCCACGGCGCGGAGCACAGCCCACGGAGCACAGGCCACGGAGCACAGCCCACGGAGCACAGCCCGCGGTGAGCTCTGTGAAGAAAGCAGCCCAGCCTACCCCACCAGTAGCCAATCACATGTCACCACAGCGCGGGAGGGAGCAGGGCCTGGGGAGGTGGGAAGCAGCGGAGAAGGCGGGGTCGCCTTCCTTCGGGTTTTCCGGGGCGTCTTCCTGCAGGGCTGCGCGGGCTGATGCGACCTAGGAAGAGCCTGTCCGTGTTGTATTAGTGTCCGCCTGGGACGGGAGGCTCCCCACCTCTGCAGTAAGATGAGGGTCAGTGCAGAAGCAGTGGGTCTGCACCAGATGGTCCCCACCAGGGATGGAGCTCCAGCGACTCCCGGGAGGGTGGGATGGCCACTCACAGGCCCTGGGTGTGGTCACACATGACCCGCAGGGTCAGGCCCCCCCCCCACTCAGAGAAGTGGCTGCTGTTTGGGGTGCAGTCAGCTGAAACAGCAGCTGTCCCTCTACGCGCCGTGAGCCACTCCATCCCAGAGCTCAGCGGACGGGTACCAGCCACCTCGGCCAGGCGAGAATGGACAGAGGCTTAGGGCACGGTGCCAAGACACGGTGAGCGTGAAGAAGACGTCCTCGGGGGGCAGGTGGGTGAAGCAGGGACCGTTTGGACACACAGGAAGCTGGAGAACTGTGTTACCTGCTGTCAGACCTCAGGGGAGGGGGGGGCTGCAGAGGCCTGGTCCATCCTGGGGGAGGGGGCCCCTGGCCTCCCAAGCCCTGGGGGAGCAGGCCCCGAGCAGTGCCCAGAGGCCAGAGAACAGAGTGCCAAGGCGTTGCCCAAAGATTACGCTATAAAGACACTCAGCTCCGGAGGACGAGCCAGAGAGGCCGCCCAGGCCGCCCCTCGCCTCACCTGGGTAGTTCTGGCAGCCGCCGGCCGTGCAGCCCCGTGTCCAGCGGCCGTGGAACAAGAGCAGGTTCCACTTGTGCACCTCCTCGCTGCTCAGGGAGTCCGGGGACAGGTTGCAGATCTCCAGCCGGGAGAACTGCCTCAAAAAATCCGGAAAAGACATCCTGGGGGCAGAGGGGCCAGAGGGCTCTCCGTCAAGAAGGCCGGGCTGCGCAGGCAACGGGAGCATCCTCCCGGGCACCGGGCACCGGCACCGGCCAAGGGCTGGCGCTCAGCTTTTCTCCAGCCCACAGATGCAGACGCACAGAGGCTGCCGTTCGATTTCCTCGCTGCCGTTAGCTTCTCTGTTCTCACCAGGCAGCCCTTCAAACATATCTACACAGCCAAGCAGGGAGAACGCGTCCCGGGAAGACCCCAGGGGTCATCCGAAGACGCTCCTGCCTCCTGGGCTGGTTCCAGCGAGCCTGCGAGGGGTTTCCTCCGATTTCAGTCTGACTGATGTCCAGCAGACAGATGCCCTCTCAGCCACGTCATAGGCCAGGGGAGGTCCTCACTACCTTCCTTAGCCCGCCCGCAAAGGAAGTTACCCTCTAGATGGTGCGCTAACCCTTAGATGGAAGGTACAGAGGCTTGCTCTCATTTCGTTGGAAAGATACGGAGGCAGGAGGACAGGTGAGGGTCGATCCGTATTGAGGGCCCAGGTCTTGTGCCTCCAGCGCCTCAGACACCCCGGCCAGAGGCGGAATCGGGCCAGGGTAATGGGGGAGAAGAATGAAGGTCCCCCAGGAACCACGCCGAATTTCTGGGACACCCAGAGATTCGCCCCACGTGCGAACAGGAGTGAACCCACCGCTTTAGCCAGCCCTCCTGCAGACAACTCGCTCACCAGAACTCCCCGTCCTCCGCCTTTATGTCCAGCTCTTCTTTCTGCCTGGGATCTATGTCGTTCCACTCTGGGGCACTGCGGGGGGGACAGTAAATGAAATTTTTTAATGTTTAAATGAAGCAGAGGCCATTCCTGAAGGGATTGTTGCCATGCAAACTGTTTACTGCAGCTAAACGTCGCCCGAAAGATGAGAAATGGAACACGTGCATGCACACACACGCGCACACGCACACCTGGGGGACAGGCGGGACAGACGGTGTGAGGGAGCGCACTGTTTGGGGAGGGGGTACAGGCTGCAGACATGAACTCCATGAGCACCAGCAGGATGACCCCAGACACTTGGCTGGATCATGATGCCCGACCCTGCCTGCGTCTCAGTCTCCAGCTAAGCTTTACATTTCTCACTAGGACTCAGACCCGGGGACGTCCGAGAGGGGAGACGCGAGAACGCGTCCCAGAGAGGCAGGCCCGCCCGTGTCCATGAGTGAGCCGTGGTTCTGGCCCTACAGGTCTGGAGTGAAGAGACTGCGGGAGGGTCCGACCACCTCTGGGCACGTGGCCGTGGCCCACTTCCTGAGCCTGCGGGAATGACGACCAGATGGTTTTACGGCAATTTCCCTGAAGTAACGTCACCCTGTGGGGCTGCCTGCTGGTGGCCTTTCCATGGCAATATCCACAAGCTTTGTTCAAATGCCATCTCCAGCTACCCGACCTTTACAAGGTGGGTTTTCCTGAAATATGCATGCAATGTCTAAATAACGGAGTGATATCAAGATCCACCTTCTTAAAATCTCTTTCCTGAGTGTTGTCAGCAAAACGTGAGCACACCCCCTTCCCTGTATGAAACCTGGGGCGCACCCAACGGCAGCCTCTGAGAGCCCCAAGGGGTCAGGCAGGAGAGCTCCAGGGCCTCTTTAATCCATCAAACATTAATCAGATCAGAACCACCTGTCAGAAGGTGCTTGTTATAAACAAAGATTGAGGGACAAGTTGGGAAACTCTAGATCTGATCTAAATCTCCCAGTTGGCTTTTTGATGAAAAAGTTATTCAATTTAGCTTGGTTGGTGTGGCTCAGTGGCTGAGCATTGACCCATGCACTAAGAGGTCACTGGTTCAATTCCAGTCAGGGCACATGCCCAGGTTGTGGGCCAGATCTCCAGTGGGGGGCATGCAGGAGGCAGCCAACTGATGTTCTTTCTCATCGATATTTCTATCTCTCTCTCCCTCTCCCTTAATTCAAGAAAAAAAATTTGTTTTTTAAATGTGATCAAGTTCCCTCCAAAAACCCTAGTAGCATCATGGTGTTAAGGACAGCACATGGGGTACACGCAGGTTTAAGGATGCATTGGGAGGGGGGTGCTATTAATCCCGTTGCTGGTGGCTCTTCATCAGTGACACTGGTGAGTTCTAGTTCCTTTCCCGGTGACAACCTGCCACCGCCATGCCAGCCGGGTGACCTGAAGGAAACAGTTCCATGCGTTCACCATCCTCCGGGACCTGGATTCCAGGGCACCGCAGTCCTGGGACCATCTCCCGTGGGCTTCTCCTCCCCAGAGGAGAGACCTGCCTAAGAAGAGCCTCTCTGGTCCTTTTCTTTTTAATCCTCACCCAAGGATATTTTTCCATTGATTTTTAGATAGAGTGGCAGGGAGTAGGAGGGGAGAGAGAGAGAAACATGGATGTGAGAGAGACACATCGACTGGTTCCCTCCCACACAACCCTGACCAGGCCGGGGATCCAACCTACAACCCAGGTGTCCCTGACCGGGAATCGGACCTGAGACCATTCAGTCCTTGGGCCGGTGCTCTAACCACTGAGAAAAACCGGTCAGGGCATCCTCTCTGGTCATTAATGACTTTGCGGGAAAGATCAATATCCACCTGTCGGGAGCTCCTGGGGAGAGCACACGCCACCCCATTCATCACTGCCGGCTGCGGCCGGTTGGCTCCCAGGAGAGAGTTCCCCTTTCTAAGTGGTCATTTCCTGTTGGCGCTGAGGGCTATGGCCTTTGTCAGAGTGACCAGGGTTTGCGAAGTGGAAAGAATCCAGTGGTGACTGATCGATCTCACCTCCGGATCACCACAGTGTGGCGGTCAGACAACAGACAAACCCTGCAGCTCGAAGCCAAATCCAACAGAGCTGCGAAACTTGCAAATGCCAGGCCGAGACCCAGAATCAAAGACTCCCGCCCGGTGGGTTTGTTTTGCTTTTCCCAGCCTGGGATGGTCTACCACCCTTTTCTGGACAGGCTGTGTGCTCTGAGGACAGAAAGCAGTGCGGAGCTCACCACACCGTCCGCCACATCGTGCTTGTGTTTTTGCGGGGTGCCTTCCCGCCCAGGGAGGCAAGGGCTGGGGGACACAGGGCAGCACCTACTCGTCACTCCAGGCTCCTGTCCACTCCACTTCGCCCCACGGATTCCGGAGTCTGATCAGCCTCTCTGGACGGCCGCGGAAATCCACCTGCAAGGGTCACACACACAAAGCGATGGCACCGTGGGCTCCTGCTGCCCTGCACTCCTGTCTGCACCTCAGACTCGCTCACCAAATCCATTCTTCAAATGTCCCCAATCGCACTTTTATTTGCCTTGAACCCGTGTCTTCGGGCCTCGGCTAACGGCTCCATTTTTCACAATTTGGTTGAGTAAATAGTGAATCCAGCACAAAAACTAGTTTATGTCTGCTTTAACCTGGGTTTAGACTTTAGGATTGACTCGATTCTTCATATGAGGCCGCATGATAATAGATGCCTTCCCAGCACGTGCTCAGAGCACAGCGGCCGGCCTCCACGGGCATGCGCTGTGACCCAGGCAGGGCGCTGAGCATTGCAAATGCCTTCCTCCCTCATTGAAACAATCCTGTGAGCTGGGTCTGCTATTATCTTCATTTTGCAGCTCAAAAATCTGACTCACAGAGGTTAATCCATGACTACCTAGCTACTAAGAGGTAAACAGAGGCTGGGCACCCAAAGTCCATACCCATAAATCCATGCACACCGTCTTCCACTGTTGTTTACTGAACAGTCACCGTGAGCCTCAGACAAACGCCATGAATTGTGGGGTCTTCATGGTCTTACTTCCCTTTACTACCTTCCATCACGCCCTAGCCCAGTGGTTACACACGCTCATATTTGGAATTTACTTCATTAAAGAACATATTCATGAAACACAAATACCTGTAACGAATACCGTGTCACTGTAATAAGTAACCGGGTGAGACACCGACTCCCTTCCCTTTTCGCCTTGGCCATCGGGAAACCCAAAGCAAAATTAATTTCTCAGTCATTGCGTTAGATTTTAGCCCAGATTGTCCAGTGTAGTTTACTGTAGTTGTAGGGTCTTACTGTGGGTGTGCCGTTCATTGTAAACCCCATCCAGCCCCTTTTGGGTGTTGGTGGAATACAGTAAGTAAAAATAATGACAACTGTAGAGAGCGAGGAACACCTGCATTTCTTGTTGTTGTGCCCACCCTGACAGTCGGGGCAGCTTCCACGGCCTTTTTCTCTGTGGGGCGCCTGTGGGTTTCCACAGCTTGACCTGCACAAACGTGCTTCTTGGGACGAGTGTAGAATCCGACTGACAGTGTCCACACTTTCCTCTGAAGCCGTGGTTCTCAACCTTCCTAACGCCCTGACCCTTTAATACAGGTCCTCATGTTGTGGGGACCCCCGACCATAAATTATTTTCGTTGCTATTTCATAACTAATTTTGCTACTGTTATGTCTTAGGTGACCCCTGTAAAAGGGCTGTTCGACCCCCAAAGGGGTCACGACCCCCAGGTTGAGAACCACTGCTGTAGATGCTTCTCCCTTTTCCCGGCCACATGTCAGGGGAGAGCCTGCATTTCACTAGAGCCCACCAAGCTGTAGCTCAGAGGTTATAGTCCCCGCCTCTGAGTGGCTGAGTCAGACGGGCCCGGGAACAAGGGTGGCCGCGCCTGTGTGGTACCCGGGGTCCTGTGCAGCCCGAGAGAGACCTCAGCCAGGGCAGCCCCTCTCTTCCTCCCAGGGATGCCCTGGACTTCTGGTTCCATCATGACTTATCACCCTCGCATTCCCCTGCCCGATCTTACCTCCTCGACTCCAGTGACAGAGTACGCGTGACTCTTAACCAGCTTCTGGCTGGTGACAGCTTCGGTTTCAGCTGCGCTGGAGACCTGGGTTGAGAATAAAGAGAATCAAGTCCACTCAGGTGGCTGACCCTGACCTTGTCTGGGCTGGTCCTAGAACGCTTTCCACGAACACAGCCACGGGGACCTCAGCATGGGCCAGGGGGTGCAGGTGCCACAATGAACTCAGGTACATGGAGCCTCTCCATTGAACCCCTCTTTCATGAGCCCTGCAGTTCTAGGCTGGGGCTGTGAGGCGGCCAAGCCTGGAAGATGAGCACCAGCCTTTAAAATGTCACGGGAAACTGGGAAGTCATTTATTCTCCAAGAGTGACCTCATGCTGCCCGAAGGAGACTAATTATCCATGACAAGTTCACAGATGGAGCTCCCCAATCATCCTTCCTGTTCCACAGCCCTCCCACCCCCCGTGGCTCATGTCACTCTTCCACCAAAAACACACTTTGCCGGCTAGGACTTTCATAGGGGCGTGTCATTCACAGGTCTGCGGTCACCAGGTAAAGGGAGGAGAAGGAGAAAGAGCAGGTGATAACAGAACAGGGCTGGGGGGCTCCAAGCTCCAGTCTTCACACCACCTTGGTCCTCCATACAGCCAACCATCCCCGACAGGGTGTGACCCCTGATTTCAGAACCTCTTGCTTTTTCAAAGTCCATCAAGTATTGTCACTCGTCAATTTGTTTTCCAACTTGCAGAAGTAGGGCTGGGATGCAGGGGTCAAGGCTCTGTTCTTAGGACACTGTCCACACTACCAAAGGGGCCCTATCAGTAGGAGAAATCAGGGCTCCTACAATGAGACCAACCCCAGTTCCTACCCACTAATTAGGTTTTAACCAGCTCCCATGTGCTGGGACTGACGAGTCACTGGATTTGCCACTATGCCCCAGGCTGTGCTCTGGCCCCGTCCAGTCCCCTCCTACCACACCGAGGAAGGGGACTCACATCAATGGAGCAGGCCAGCAGAGACCCCACGCGGAGGGCCTTCCGGATGATCTGATACAGGCTGGTTGGTGGCTTCTTCAGGTCAAAAAATTCAGAGATGCCACCCGTGAAATCCTCAAAGCCCTCCACTGTGGACCCTCCAGAGAGAGCCTCGTAGGAACCGTTGAGCCTGTTGAAAGAAAGAAGACATGCGCCGTCCACAGCCCTAAGCAGCCCAGGAGCGGACCTCGTGGGTGGGGGTTGGGAAGGGCGGTGCCAGGACTCCAGGGAGCGGACCTTGTTGGGGGGGCAAGGACAGTGCTAGGACTCGGTGTGGTCTGAAAGGTGAAAGAGGAGTTTGGTATCTGGGTGCATTTGTTTTCTTCCTCTTCATTATCACTCTTTTCAACATTCACAAACTGCCCTTGGGGTTTCAAAGGGGAGAAAGCTAAGTGGCTAGGTGGCCGAGGGGCTTGTCCCCATTCACACATCCAGGTGGGACGGAGCTGAGCTTCCGACGCCCCCGGCCCAAATGTCTGTTCTCTTAGTCACCGAGGGACACAGCGTGTGGGGGTCCAGGTGCTGGGAAGGACTTGGGCGTGACACTTGGAGCTGGGGGGAGGGGCAAGTGAGACCCTCCAGGAAGACTGCGGGGTCCCCTGGCCCCTAACCACCCCCACTCACTTGGCATAGGCCTTCTCCAGGAGCGCGCTCCAGAACTCGCTGCCGTCCTCCGAGTGCAGAAAGAGCAGCCTCCCGTCCCGGGTGGGCAGCCGGTCGTCCACCACCACCTCCACCCACTCGCCGTACTGCCAGAACTGGGGGACAGCGCTGCTCAGGGAACCAGGGGCGGGTGGAGTGGTCTCGTCACCCGGAGGAGCCTCTGGGATGCCCAGTGTTCAAGCCTTGGACCTTTAGGGAATTCCAAGCTCAAGGGCAGGATCAGGGTCTTACTTATCCGTGCACAGAGGAGACGCTAAGGAAGTCAGGAAGCACCAAGTCCCGTGTCTGAGTGTGTGGTGACAGTGTGACTGGGACCCACATCTCCCGACACTCGCTCCCCGTGAGGCCTGGGGACACGCGGGGCCGATGTGAGACTGGACGGATGTGTTGAAGCGGTGGCCCCACGCTCAGGCGCGCGTCGGGACCACCCGGAGGGACTGTTCAGACTGAGTGGAATCTGGCTGCATAGAAAACAGAGTCGAGGGCTTGAGCAGGTCACAATACCTGGAAATGAAAGATCCCCGCGTAGTTCTCCTGGAAAGTCTGGTCCCTGGGCACCACCCGGTAGAGCAGCTCCTCGTTCAAGGTCAGGGAGGCGATGGCCGCCAGAAGCCAGCAGTCACCTGCGCGGGGTCGGGGACACACTGGTCAGGCCAGGCCTGCAGGGTCCCAGCTGTCTCTGACCCTCCACACTCCCTTCTAAGTCAGTGGTCAGTCTCTCTTTCTCCGTGTCTCAAGGTCGCGGGCAGCAGTCAGCTCCTGCTGCCTCATCGGAAGTCGTGTCCTCGGGTCGAGATTCTACAGGCCTCCCTATCGCCCCTGAATGCTGACCACCTCACATCTCCAAAGCACTCGGCCAGTGGGAGATGATGGAAATTTTTAAAAAAAAAATCACCCTGGCCGGTTTGGCTCAGTGGTTAGAGCATCGGCCTGCGGTCCTGAGAGACCCGGGTTCGGTTCCCGCTAAGGGCGCGTACCTCGGTTGCGGTTTGTCCCCGGCTCTGGTCAGTCGTGCGGGTGGCAGCCACTCGATGTATCCCTTTCACATCGATGTTTCTCTCTCTCTCTCTGGTTCTCTCTCTCCCTCCCACTCTACCTGAACAAAAAATGGAAAAACGTCCTTGGGTGAGGATAAAAAAAAAAAAAAAAAAATCAGTCTATTGGGTTCCTTATTAGCAACCGGATAAAACATTTGTTGGGGGGAACATCAAATCTACTTGCCAGCCCAGGATGTGTGAGTGACCGTGGCGGGGGGAGGGGGGGTGACTGTGTGTGTTCCTGGACCCGCGTGATGTTACTTGACAGAAAGTTGGCTTTCCCTTTTGTGTTCAGAGCTCACCTTGACAGCGTTGATGCCTCATGGCTTATAACAGCCTGGAGATATTGATTAGCATGACATCATCATAACAGAGGCAGAAGAAATAAAAGTCTAGAGGTTAAAATTCTAGGTTTCATCCTGGTCACTACAGAGAAGAAAACAGAAAACTCCTTTCTTTGCAAGGTGGGGCCTCCAGACCTGTGCCACAGAGTGGGGCTTCCTTGGAAGGCATCATTGTCCCCCCTGGGGTTGACATCGAGCGATTAGCACAAGCCCAGACACCCCTTTCTTGCCTCCACACCCTAGAATGGATCTATCGTCCTGGAACTGACGACAACCCTTCTCTCGCCCATGCTTACGCTCTACACCAGCTCTGAGATCTCAGGGCACTCGCCTGTGCCTCTCGTTGTGTGAAGGAGTATTTCCTCCTTCTGGCCCTACAGCTGCCTCTTTCCAAAGCTCCGCCTCTGGGAGCCTAGGGTTTGGTGAACAAGTTTCTCCCCCTCGTTCCATCCAAACGGCTCCAACACTACCTGTGTGTCTCGGCCATCACCTCTTCCATATTATAAAACTCTGAATCCCACAACACCCTTCAGACGGAAGCGCCTTCCACCTTTCAGAGCCCCTTCGAGGACCTGGTCCAGCACCACCTCTGCTCTAGCACTTTGGCCGAAGTCGCACCCAGAGTTCAGGTTGTGAGCACTCGGGTTGCCTGAGCCAGCAGGAAGGACGCTGGGGCCCATGAACCCACCTCGGAGGACGTCATCTGCTCGGAACGACTCCATCACCAGGTCATCTTGGAAAGCCGTTCGCTCTGTCTGCCCTTCTCCCAACAAAGAGGTTCATGATTTGGGCACAAATTAACTCCTTTCCCCAACCAAACCCTTACTCTTTCTCCTTTTCTCTCTCTCTCTCTCTCTCTCTCTCTCTCTCTCTCTCCTCTCTCTCTCTCTCCAACACACAATCTAGAAGGCAACCCTGCCCCTCACCCCCTCTCTCACCAGGCTCCACCTTACTGACAAATGTCATCCTCCGATGGCAGCAGGTCCCTGGTGAGACCAGACCTGGCGGCCGGGGGAGAAGGGGTTGGCACAGGCAGTCATGGGTTTTGTCGCCTCTCGCTAAAGAAGAACCAAGGGTGGGGGCAGTATCACATTAACAGGCAACTTCCAAAGAGTAAGTAAAGGAACAGAATGTCGTCGTCCTCCGGTGTCCTTCCCGTTAGCACCTGTGATCGCGCATTGCTCTGCTCAAAACCTTCAACTTCCTCCACTGCCTGGGATTTGAAATAAAAACTAACAGGATGTGAAGGCCCTTCACAGTATGGCTCCGCCCATTTCTCCAGCCTTCCTCCCATCGTAATCCACGTGCAGCTGATCCCCGTCGGACTTGGGTATCAGGAAGCACGCCCCGTCTTTCCCACTCTGGGGTGCTGTTGCTCATTTGCACCCTCTGTTTGCAGAGTCCTCCCTGCAACAGCACCTGCCGGATCTCCCTCCTCCTCCACGAAGCCTTCCCTGATGCCGCCCACTCTCCAGCCACCAGTCACCCCTTTTGCTTTGTGCTTCCTGGAGACCTTAGCTGTACTTCTCTGCGCAGAGATCACAAGCTGCCTCGGTTCATGGTCATCAGCCAGATTGGACTCAAAACTCCATTTATGCATCAGAAACTTCCCTGAGCCCATCCCTGGCCTGCACGGCTCCCCATAGGCTCCCTTCTCGGAGCCCCAGCACCTTCCTGAGCCACCTGACATGACTTGTCTCCACCCCATGATCGCTTCCTGCAGCAAGGGTGTGAGCCCTTTCATCCATTCATCTCAGCAGATGCTGACACACAGTAGGGGCTCCATGAATGTCCGATGAATGAAAATAAATAAGCAGATGACCCAATAAATCAATGAAGCATCTTTTGTTCCTGTGCGACTCCCAACAGCACCTGACGTAGGTGTGCCCCTGAATCTCGCTGGTGTCAGAGACGTGAGCCCAGCCAGGACACGCGTGAACCTGGCAGATTCCACCTCCGCCACCAGCAGGGCCTTTGCCTCCAAAGCAGAGGGCTAACAAGGGAAGACAGAGGCACAGGCTGCTGGGGATGGAGGGGCCACTCCTCTGCGACCCTCTCCGAGGCAGGTGGCCTCACACAGAGGTCAGAGCAGCCACACGGCCCTGGTGACGGGGCACAGCCTGTCTCTCTTCTGATCCAGACATTCTTGCTCTCAGCTCACCCAGAACACTCCTTAGACATTACAATGCACGGCACGCAAACAGAATGTCCCTCGGCTGCTGATGCGAAATGGGGCTGCCCAGCTGGAGGACAGTTTCATTTTCTCTTCATCTGCCTGGGTCCTGACTCTCACGGGGCCCACCTGGCTCTCTCAGCAAGCGCGGCTCCAGGGAGAAGCGGCGGGCGCGGGCGCTTGGATCCCTGCCAGTGACGGCGTAAGGTGCGAACAGACCGTCGTGACAAATATGCTTTTTGTAGGCAATGTGTCCAAATGAGTGTGTTCCCCTTCAAAGGGTCCCCTTGGGAGAATAAACATTTATTCTGTGGCTTGAACTATTTCAGGAGCTTGTCTGGGGGACCCGCCTGGGAGCCCGCGGCACACTGCTGGGGTGCTTCTCAGTGGGGACACGGCTTTGATCTTTGCACACAGTTTAAAGTTTCAAAAGCAGACAAGATGCCTTTGGATCCAAGGTGAGTGGTAAATAACGTGGATAAAAAAGCTGAGAAATAATCTTGACAGACAAGTCCCTCCCCCGCGACAGATCTGTCCCATCAGGGAGCGAAGGTGGAGTCTCCTGGGTCACTGACCCCATGGGAATTTGGGAACCCCTGAGCTTTGTGCTTCCTGCTCCTTGACTAGGTTATATATGTGATGGGTTTCCTATTTGTTAAAATAATGAAGTGATATATGATTTTATCCCCTGGGACCCCCACCCATTGCATCAGTAGCTTGAGGGCTTCCAGAAAACAGAACACCCTGACCATAACGATGAAGTCCTCGCTCAAGGAAAGCGGTAAGTCAACCAAGAAATAATAATCCTGAGCCAGGCTTTGACAGCAACAGAATCTCTCAGCTCAAAAATCCCCTTTAGCCCTGGCCAGTGTGCTCAGTGGTTAGAGCATTGGCCATGGAAGGGGCATGGGTTTGATTCCTCGTCAAGGGCATGTACCTGGATGCAGGTTCGATCCCCGACCCCAGTCGGAGTCGTGCAGGAGGCAACCAATCAATGCGTCCCTCTCACATCGATGTTTCTCTCTCTCCCCCTCCCTTCCACTCCAAGAAATCAATGGGGAAATATTCTTGGGTGAGGAGTAACGAAACAAAATTCCCTTTAGATGCTACAATCAAAGTGTGGCCATCTGAAAACCTACTGTTGTTATAGGCCCAGGTAGCAAGGACTCAGGCTGTAACTGAAGGGAATACCTGAGCACCGAGGGAGACGGCGGAGAAGCTTCTGGGCTACAGAGAGGAGGGAAGAAAAGAGAAGTTGTAGATATTGGAACCCCGGCCCCACCTCAAACAATGGCTAAAGGGGGAACAATAGTTTTCAACCCCAAGAAGAAGCCAGAGCAGAAAGGACTTTTGTTCTGCTTCCCACTGGGGACTCTGGGAGCAGAATAAAAATTGCAGCAGATAGAAGGTGAAAGACGGTGGCGAGGAGCGCCCCCTAGTGTTCCCTCCGCTATCAGATGGTGAACACAGAGGGTAAGGACGAAAAGGCAGGTCTCACTGCTGTGGTGACTCTGGGAGGGGAGGGAGGTCAGGGACTGGATGGAGGACATGACGTGTCCCTGTACACTGAGGTGGGCCTGAGTCAGCCAGGAGAGGGCCGCTGGGTCCTGATAGTACCAGGACAGACCACACAATACTCCAGATACTCCAATCACATCTCCAGGAGACCAGCCAGGACCCAGGGGGCATCACCGGTCACACAAGGACCCTTTCCCATAGCCCCAAGGACACGTGCCCTTCCTTGTATCCAGGCGCTCTCTTGGGGAGGCCATAGAGGGACCTTTAAGAAGCAAGAAACCATCAAACGGAGTGACTGAGGAACATTTATCCAAAACAGGCAGAGGCCAGAACACCTTCAGTTGGCTAGTCGACCGTCGATCGGGGCTCCCAGCCAGCTGCGCATGGTCTCGGAGAGTAAAGAATGCTTTGCCGATGGCACGTCTGAGTGTAACGCAAAGACTTTGACCTTGCTACTAGGAGGTTGTTGCGTGAACATCCATCTTCCATATGCGGTTGCAGCCGAGACATCCTTCACCTGCGCTTCGCTGTGAGGCTGCTGCCGGGTTGAG